CAACAGTTCAAACTACACGAAAACGCAAAAACGCTAGCGAAAAGCAATAGCCATCGGGATTTGTTGAGGTATAACAGACCATCATTCGGTAACTACTCGGCTCTGGCCGTCCTCTAGCAAACAACAGAGGATACTATAATAGGCATATTTAATGCTTTCGTGTACCAGGGTTATCAGGGCAACACTTGTCGAAAGGGTACAACTTCTGCGAGTAGTTCCAAATCTCCCGAAGGAGTATGGTTTAATGCTGACACGTGAAAATAAGTCTTCTTTGTACCTCAGATTATTTCGGCTTGTGCAGCAGTGCAGAGGGACTGAAGACGATTAATAGAGATATTCGGCGTGTACCTGAAAGGCCACAACTAAGCAATCAACACGAGTTGAAGTCACTCTGGGGGATTAACTAACACTGCTCAATGTTTGTTCGGCAATCATCTGCACTGCTATACCAGTTACATTGTTTGTTATGCAAGGGCATCATAGTCTAGAACGGAGGAAAACTACATTGGCCAATCCACCGGTTTCGGCCCACCTCGGCCCCGATAATACATGACGTTCACATATGATGCACCATCGTACGGGGTCGGTGTTGCCCTGTAACAGCCGGATGCGAGAGGATAAAGCAAACCAGTTGGATTTATCTATCGGTCCCTATCTCAGACTGAGCGCAATTACGTCAACATTGACAAGGACACTGTGGCGGTTGCAGTTAGGTTATCTTTTTTCACCAATACATATTCGGCTAAAAGTTTGAAATACACACCGACCACAACTCACTACCGAGAATTCTAGGCGAATAAAAGGCGATATTCCTAATGGCATCTTCCCTGAGCCTTACTGCTCGCTGGCTATCAGTAGCAACTAAAGGTCTTCCTGGTAAGGAGCTTCATTGGGCCGAATGTTACATCCGTCGTTGATATTGATCAGTTAATTCAGCTACGTCGCGTTCTTCTTGGTTTGTCTCGCAGTGACCAATCAAGAGTTCCTTACTTCACGTTTTAACTCGTGTGTCATGTGAGCCATGTTGCAGCGCTGTGCCTGATACACAGCGTTTCGTACTGTGCGTTGTCCTTGCCTGACTGCGGTCTGGGGGCGTGCTTTGCTTGAAAACGTCACTAAGTATTATTGGCGACGGGATCCAGCTGAACCCTTCATTAATCTGCCTGCTAAACTTTGGTCTTCCGCTGAGGATAAACCGACCTTATCAAAATGGATGTGTTGGAAGGAAGCATTCAATAACTGCCTGGAACTACTGCCTGTTTTGAATCGTACGCTTTCACTTTCTGAGTCCCACAAAATAAGATTATTCAGACAAGTGCTGGGAGATGAAGTCCAAAGATATTATGATGCATCACATGTGAAATTGTGACACTATTACATCGGCCTTGGCTAAATATACCACACTGTGGAGATTGAAACAGAACGTTTATACTGCCTGCTACTGCTTTTCAAAGCTTGTACAGACACCGAATGAGAACATCAACAAGTTCATTGCACACATCCATCCGTTTATTCCAGAGTGTAAATCCAATGAAAGTCTGCCAGACAACTTTGAAGAATAAATGAAATCACAATGCTTAATTGGGGGGATTCCTGACGAAAGTGCACGGGAAATACTGAACGAGTCAGATACCACGTTGCAAAATGCTCGTCTATCTGTTCACCAAAGTGCGAATATCTCACACCAGCTACTTGAATCCACTACCCATCTTGTCGTCGATGCTGTACACGCAGTTGCCAAAGCCACAGACTTCAGGGGAATCTCGAAAACCGTTCGTGTGCTATCGCTCCGGGATGCAACACGCTCTTGTTTCTAAGTGTCGCCACAAAGAAAGCATCTGCCGAAAATGTGGCAAAATAGGCCACCTAGCCCGCGTGTGCAGATCGAAACCGGCCCTACCGACTAACCTCGCTCAATCAAGATGTCATAATTAGCAGTCTCTTAAGGAGAAAAACGTTCAGGAAGACCGGAAAACGATCTAAATTCAGTCTACTTGAATACCGCATCACTCAACAAATGCCCAATATATATGGTATGTTTGATGATCGAGAATGAACCGATCGATCTGGAACTGGATACAGGGGCTGAGGTTGGCATTATGAACAATGATTCATTTGAGTCTACCGTCCTTACAAGCATGTGGCTCCAAATTGCAAATCTACACGGGAGATGCGAGCAGGGTAGTGGGAAGGTGGATGGTTAAGGTCAGGCATGACGAGCGGGAATTGACTCTAGCATCGAACGTGGTACCTGGGAAAAGACCGAATCACTTAGGCATAAATTGGATCCGATACTTACCAGAAACGATACAGATTAATGAGGTCGTGATCAAATCCGACGGTACCCTTCATATCTGTGGATACTAGAAGTTAACTGTCAATCAAGGTCTAAAGGTATCCTTTGCCATGCATCGAAGGTTTGTACGCTACGCTATCCGGTGGCCAAAAATTTTCCTAGCTTGACCTTAGTCATGTATATCCTCAACATTAACTTAATGAGGACTCACGCTCATTTACCACGATTACTACACATCTTGGACTATTTCGGTGTACCCGTCTTCCTTTCGGAACAAAACCGCCCCCAGCATCTTCCAGCTGATTGTGGATAACATCGTGAAGGATACATCCTTAACTTGTGTTCATTTATTAGTTAGTTCGGCCACATCTCGTTCTTATTGGTTTGCGTCGCATTGCCCAATCAAGAGTTCCTCACTTCATGCTTTAACTCGTGTGTCATGTGAGCCATGTTGCAATGCTTCGCCCGATACACTCCGTTTTGTGCTGTGCATTGTTCTTGCCTGACTGCGGTTTGGGAGCGTGCTTTGCTTGAATTCATTACTACGTATTACCGAGACTGTCAGGCATCTTCCGTTTCTGGAAGTTCCGAGCCACACGTCAGTTTGGAGAGCACTGATATAAGTGATATCTTGGATGGGTGATTTACCAGAGACAACTGTGGAGTTAAAGTGGGAAACACAGAATGACCCTGAACTGTAGAAAGTGTGGGTTTAGTTCCCAACTGGTTGGCCAGATAGGGTAAACGAGTGTACCAGGGCACTTCATAGGCAAAGCCCTGAACATACTCAAGTTTGGTTGTATATCTTTGGACTTCGCATTGTTCTCTGCAAACGACAAAATCAAACAATCCAGCGGGAACTTCATATGGGTCAACAAGAACTTTTCTAGATTAAGGCACTAGCACGCAATTACTTCTGGTGGCCCGGGGTCGATCTGGAGATAGAACGACTCGTACAATTGGGTGCTAGCTGCCAAAAAAAAGATCATCCCCACAATTTGTGCCAACGTCTCCATGACAATGGCCCTCTCGTCGGTGGAACAAAATAAACTTTAAGTTCTGTGGATCCATCGAAGGCTCCATGGCGCTGGTTTTTGTGGATTCACATTTTAAGTGGATCGAAGCTCGGGCAAGTGCAACCATGACTGGGTTGACCACTGTACATATATTAGGAAAAATCTTCGTCACGCATGGTATACCATGTACAGTTGTCTCAGGTAACAGCTTGGGCGTTACCTGGGACGAATTTAGACAATTCTTGCGTCAAATTGGAATCGAGTATGTTCTACGGGCACCGTATCACCCTTCGTCCCATGTTCTGTCAGAGCGTTGTTGCGAATTAGGCGTAGTGTGGTAAACGACAGTGCGCAACCTCACAAACCCGCCTGGACAGATTCCTACTACATTAACGGATTGCATCACGCACTACCACGGATTATTCACTGTGTGAACTTCTGATGGGGTGCTGACTGTGTACTGGCTTGGATCTCAATAAACCCGACCAGCGGAGAAAGGTGGTTAAATACCAGTCCTTAAAAAAGCGCCGCTACGACAAAACCATGAAAATTCGTGTGGCTAAGGTAGGCGACAGAGGGTAGCAACTGAAGCCGACGGATAAAACTAGGATCCGAGGAGTTACGAGATCAAAAGTGCAGTAGAGGAAAGCTTGGAAGACTGGAGAATACTTCGACGTCATTTAGACCAAGTGCGCCCCCAGCCAATGAATTCAGGAGACAAACAAACGAATTACGCACCGCCTGTATCTCTGATGATATCACCGGAAGTGTCACTGAAAGATGACAACGCTTCGACACATCCTATACATCCACGCCGTCACTTCGTAAAGAGTAGGGTGCAAAATGTTATCAAGTGGGATTCACTTGATCTAATGGTTGAAAACTTTTGTGATTGGTCATCACAAGTCATCTTCTATCGGGCGATGCATATGACTCACGTGGGAAGAAAAGTGCGTGTTACCAAGCGAACCAGTGACTTGGTCGTGAGTACACATTACAGCCGTGTCCTTTAACGTATCCGTGTTCTTACTAACAATACTGTGATCCTGGAACTGCCAGGGTGCGCTACGTAGTGAACAATGACACGTCCCTAAAGCCTCTGAAACGGAGCCGGGCATGTTCATTTGGTTGTACATGAATCAACTACGTGCATATAGTGTCACGAAATGTTCCTACGAATTGTCACATAATGTAACTTCACTGTGAGGTGAATGAGGACGTGTCAGCCTATTCCAAGGCGGAAAGCAACCGAAGCACAAATTAATAATAACTTTACGCATGTGCGTCGCTAGTGCTCATCAGCTGGGTAGACAAGAAGGATTCATTAGCTATGAGCTATGAGGTTATTTAAGTCTGTCATCTTACTCAGCTAATAAAGTGCAACGCTATTCAGCATTAAGTCATTGAAGCAAATCGTAACTATTGAGCTAGACGACAGACTCAAGGCGCATACCTGCCGCGGTTTGGATAGTGGTTCACCATGAACAAACGGGTCATGAGGCATTTAAATTAGTAAGTTGTCGTGTTTGGCCTACATTGCCCCCGTTTCACATGGACCCACCACAGTGATTAAATACGAGGGTCAATGCATGGCCTTAGAAGCGATAACATTCACGGATCATGGTGATGCAATAAAGATGCGTCGTGCTTGATAAATCACTTACTTGAATAGCAAAAGGAAGATCCACCTTGATTGCTTCTGGTGGAACAGTCAAAGCGACTCTGGGGTCAGTCAGAGACTGTAACCGCCCTCCGTGTTTACCAATATCAATCCGGTCTCGTCGAAGCCGGGTGAAAGGAGCAAAGGTGACATTCGTCAGTTGGTTCAGACGGGCTTCAAGGAAGTGATTCTCACCAGCGATGACATCAGTGGTATTAAGGTCATGCCAATACACCAACTCGGTTTGCTTCTGTGAACAAATTCATCGAAAGCGGTTCACATGTACAGCAGGCTAGCAAGTATATAGGTTTGCTAATGTGAGTGCGTTTGCATCGACCTAAAATCAACAGAGGTAGTTTAACATAAAATTAAAGCGACTCACAACAAACCCATGTTTACTTGAAGGATGTTTGTGAGTAGCGTAAGGTTCGTAGAAAGTAGAAGTCATGATTAAACTCCACACAATAATCTGCCTCGACGGGGAATCGAACCCCGGTCCCACGAATTTCCGGTCCGCTGCTCTACCACTGAGCTACCGAAGGCTGACGATTAGGTGCGCAATTTAATACATGACTTCTGCTTGGTGCGCGACGTATTGCCAATGAGCTCACAGTATCTGTCTTGGTGTTGCAGATTGGCTCACTCACTCGTCACTTCCCAATGGACCGAAGTAACTGTCCTTCTGATGTCCAAAGAGCGATGGTAGATTACTTGAAGGATGTTTGTGAGTAGCGTAAGCACATGGGTTTTCTGCCAGTCAAGCAAGTTCAAACATGGGTCCCCATGTCTTTGTCTTTTAGACGATGCCCGAGGTTCAGGGGGTTAAACCGCGACCACTTGGTGAGCAGTGCACGCAGGCGCATGTGTTGGTGTTCGCTGCACGTTCTTTCATGGTAGTGAAGTCACAGGAGTTGTCGCTACACAAACTCCGCCGTTTTCAGCCCCAGTCTTACGCCTCTTCGCGAGCCAGCGTGATTGCGTTTATCGGTTGTCAACGCCTTATTAGCTCCAATGCAATCTTGACGGCGTGACACGGGCAAGTGGTGGAGTCCACTGTTTTGCACACTTCATCAGCTGAGAAATTAACTAGCAATGGAGTGCCACCACCCCGAAATTCACGTGAAAACGGCTACTTACTCATCCGTCATCATGTCACAATTCGATGAATCATATCAGATACGTGAAAAACCTATTCGGCGCGCATAGCATATCGTGTAACCAATGATCCACCGATAACTTAGCTGAAGATACTTGCTACATGGTTATTATGATATCTGACACTGCTAACTCCAACCCACTTAGAACGGAAGTAAAGACGCACCGCGTGAGGACGAGATCTCTCGAAAACTGACATACGTGAGCTGACGGAACACAACAAAAATCAATAGGTCAATCAACCAATCACGTGAGAGAACTCAGGCAACGTTTGGCGAAACCGTACACCTGTGAACGACCAGCAGGCGTGAGTCCAACTCCAACCTCCCTTAGGCTGAACTGAATAGCACACAACATTGGATTCGCATGCCTTCCATCTTGGGTTAAACCTGAGTCTCTACACTGGAGCTATGATTCGCGGGTTGAGGATCTTCGATCAGTTGTTGCAGTTTGTTTTAACGACAGGCTCTGTGAAGCGGCACTTTGATGTGCATCCAGCAAAATACCTAATGGTAATGAAGCTTCTGTTTTTGGGGCGGACCTTGTGCTTAAAAGCGGGTCTACTACGGTTTACATGTCTGGTCTATATGATGGAACGTATTTATACTCTATACAAAACACTTGAAATCCGCTCAACAACACGGCCATCAAACCAGGTTTATTTTCCTTCACAAACTTTCTTTACGTACACATTATCACTAGGCACGAAATATCGGGGTGTGATCCATGATGGTGATCCATGATGGCGGTTAAAAGTCAGCTCTATTGAAGCATTATGTGCTTCTTGTGTAGCGATGGTTTCAAAGCATCTACTGAGAAAGGCTTTGGATGGAGACACGTTTTGAAGTACTACTGGACCTAGCGTCGTAAGGGTAAATGTGCAAAAGTTCGTCAGTGATTTCATGGATATTTTTCTCTCCCACCATTTTAATCAATTCTCGCTCAAAAGTACCAATAAAAACGTTCAGTCTGCCCATGTGAGTGTGGATGGTGCGCTGGAGTGCACATGTGTTCCATGCTATGTGAGTTGAAAAAGTCCACAAACAAGTGAATTGTGAACCATTGTCCAAAGCAATCGTTTGGGAGCGCCAAATTCAGAGACGAGATGACGTAGGTGCAACAAAACAACGGAAGTGGATACGCACCTCACATAAAAATTTTCGTCCATTTTGAATAAGCGTCGACAATTACCAGATGGTGGAATGCTTTCAGAGCTCCTGCGAAAATGTTATGATTGCGAGCTTGGTCCACTTTTAGTCTGCCAAGAATGAAACTTACATTTGACGGGTAGTTTTGCTGATATAGCACAGTAGTTACATGAAAGAGCAACAGCTTTACCATCCTGGTCCGTGAAGGGCCCCTAGGTATAGCCGCGGGCTGATTCCCGGGTAACCTTCGTAGAACTGACTGAGAACCTTCTACCGTAGAATCCTAGGAATCACAACTCGGTCAGCTAATATCAAACAGATATCTGTGCTGGTTAAATTGAACTTCCTTTTCCAAAACTGCTCGCCATAGCTGTGCAAGGGGCGTGCAGGCCAAGCAGTGCTCAAGTACCCAATAATACGTTGTAACAAATCGTTAGCAGTTTTTACTCGGACTGCGTCTGTTCTCATTAGAAGCTGCCGTATGGATGTTTGAAACATTTGTCTAATCTCAGTCTAAGGTTCTACTGGATACAACCATATCTTCATTCGGTGTCTTAGAAGTATACTCAACAATTAGTCTGCATAATGCGTCAGCGTACCCAAAGCAAACTCGCAATATATAACGCAAATCAACATCGTGTGCTAATAGAGTGGTCGCCCAACGTTGTTGTTGGCTCACCATGGGAAAGGAGATACCTCGTTTGGTGTCAAAACTCACAAGCAAAGCTTTACGGTCTGTGTACACGTGTACCAACACGCCCTACGGCCGCAATTTATCTCGGCTCTAGCTTCACCCCCTGTGGCCATTCAAGTTCTCTACACACATTCTTTGGTGTGCGCTGTTTCAAACCAGTTCGACAAGCGCTATTCACGACTTCCTGTCTTTTGGATCTAACTTGTGTGGATCCTAATGTTGATCCGGTTCTCATTTTTGGCACCTTCTTTGTCGATTTCGGCTTGTGAAATTACATTGCTACCGTGCTTTACTAGAATATCTTGGTTTCATTAGGTAGAAGAATCTGAGAACTCTCAAACGACCATTCAACCAGCACCTCAGGTAGCAGCATAACAAAGGTACGAGATATTTTGCGTCGTTCACCCACTAAACATCGCGTCCGAGACACTTAGGGAAGCTTTCTAACGCCTTGGTGCATCGTTGCGTAATCCGACCCGATCAATACACGCTGAGTCTTTGTGTGCTTGTGTGCGTACCGCTGAATTCGGCCAGCCGTGCGCGACCACGAGAGGCAGTAAGACAGCCACTTGTCTCGACGAATGGACCTTGATGCCGGAACAATCAATGAACAATGGACGATGAGTTATCAAGGGATAAAAGCAAGGGCTTACCACGTCCCGTAGGATGGTTGCGGCGAATATAACGAAATCAAAATATATCTGAGTCATCTACCGAACGTCTGCCTAGATGGATACTTCAATAAATTACATCAGTGTAAAATTTAACATAAAATCGAGCGTAAACGTACAAATAGACACTGGGGTGCAGTGGTCGTTGATATAAGTCGTGTGGAAAGTAAAATATGGTCGCTCACTTGGGTCCATTTGATACATAAATTCTGTTGAGAAGTATGCTTTGTGTAATTCACAAGAGAGGAGTTTGGGTAACAAAATGCTGGGATCTAAGAGCAACATCTAATCGTTTTTTGAAAAAGTCCAAGGTAGGAGAGAATACAACTGAGTCTGGGAGTGCTTTCCAGGGTTGGCAATCCCGAAGGGAAAAGTAATTCCGTCGACACTTTAGACGGCTATATTGTTCCTTCAACTTTAAGCAGTTACCCCTGAGCTGCGTGTTGTGGCTAAGTTTCAGCAAATGGCGGCATACGTGGTTGGGGTCACTCAGTATCTGATACGCTAATCTGAGATCATCGCGCAGCCTTCGATAGCGACCGCTGAAAATTCCCAGCAACTTCAGCCTTCGGTGGTCAGAGTGATAGTGCAGGCCCTTTACATCATTTGTTGCCCTTCATTGAGGTGCCTCTAAGGCCTCTAGGTCGCGCTTCAACCAAGGTTGCCAAGCTTGGATTACGTACTCAACATGCGGGCGCAGGTAGGAATTGTGCATCATTGGGAAGATTGATGGGTCAAATCTCCCGAATGCCCTTCCCATTATGCTGACGTGCTGTTTGCCTTCTTTCGCAGATACCTCAGGATGTATTGAACAGTTGAGGTCGCTCTGTACGAGCACACCAAGCTCACATTCCTAGGAGCTGGACTGCAATCCGTTTGTTCCAAGTAAATAGGTGTAGTTATATCTATGGCGTAATTGTACAACGCGGCATTTGTCTACGTCGAATGCTAGGGCGTTTTGAACTGACCAGTTCGACACTGTGTTAAGATCGCACTGGAGCCCTTCGTGATAGTTCGGTCCTCTGATCCTTCGCCAGATCTTGATATCATTAGCAAAGAATAGGAAATCGGAAGTAATTGATCTCGCCAAATCCTTAATGAACACCAAGAATAGGCGAGGTCCAAGCACCGAGGCTTGTGGTACTCCACACGCCACATCGATTGCATCAGAAAATGATTCTCGAAATCTCACCACTAGCCGTCGTTCCTGTAGAAAATTGCTAATCCAACTCAGGATCGGGTCGCCAATGCAGTACTTCTGAAGCTTCTGAAGGTGAATGCGATGGTCTAATCGATCAAACGCTTTTGAAAAGTCCAAGTAGATGGCATCGACTCCTGCTCGATCATAAACAGCTTCAGTCCAACTACTACGTGCAATTAATAGGTTGGTATTACACGAATGCTTTTGACGAAAGCCATGTTGCTCTGGGGCTATTAAGTTATGGCTTTCCAGATACTGCATCAGCCCGTCTGCGATGGTTGATTCCATCAATTTGGATAGTACGGGAAGTAGTGTTATTGGACGGTAGTTGGCAAGATCAGTGCGGCTACCTCCTTTATGGATAACAGTGATGACCCCTTG